ATATTTTACTCTCACTTAAGCATGTATTGCACACTGATATGGAGCATCTGCTCATGGGGTAGAAGGAGGCAAGCATTACGACTTTCAACTGGAGCCTTGTTAAGACAGAAGGAAAATAGTGTGAATGTTTTCAGACTTAGTTGGCATATGAAACTCAACTCTTTGGGTTAATAACTTAAGTTCTAAAGAGATCTATTCTGGCTGAGTTGACAGTTCAAGTGAATGTGTGGTCATTTCAATCTGTGCGAAAAACAACTTAGATAACTTACTTCATTGGTCAATAATTAAAGACAACCCAATGTGTAAAAATAAAAAGGATCAGATCTGTAGATAATGGATGACAGGACAAACCGATTGTGAAATCATAGTTGTACAATAAAAAGCAAACAATCTTTTACATATGGATGAAGAAAGCAAAAGAAAGTATATCTAAGTATTTCGACATGTCATGCCTATTAGTATAGTATTTTTAAGTTGGGAAAATTCACATGCCAACAACTTAATATCAACCCAATATCTACTACCAATATAGAGACACCCCTAATTTTATGGTATTACTGCTACTGCATTTTTAATGATCAAGAAAATAAAGATGCTTTATGATTCCAAAATAAAACTCACACTTTGATAAGGTAGCCTAGGTGGATTTATCTTTCCCTTATGTCTGTACAACATTCTTCTTTAACCTTTCATGGTATATGCCACTCCAATAGAGTTGTTTCTTTCTGGTGAACAAGAAAATGACAGTACACGTCACACTGTAAATGGCAAACCAATCAATGTCCTTCAACCTTTGGACATCACAATCTTTAAATAATTCTGCTGTGTGTATACCTCCAATTGGTGCAACAGTCAATTTAGGGATGCTCTGATAGAGAGTAATTGCCGCCAACTTGACCTTAATCTTCATGAGATAATTTACAATCCAAAATCAATTCAATAATACAAAGTATGATTCAAAATTATTTTTACAAGCTTATTTACAGCTAATACTTTGAACTGGTGTAACTAAGAAGTGTACCAATACCCAAATTCTGGTATATAAGGCGCCATTTAGGAGGTAATAGAAAAGAGCAGATGTGCCTGAACTACCTGCCGGTGTGCAGCATTTATAACCAGGGGGTCTTTAAGAGATACCGAGCCGCCTGTGTGCATGGCTTTATGCACTGCCACAAACTGCTCGGTCACTACAGGTGGATTCAAACAGCATGCATTGCTTGTGCCTAACTTTGGACTGCAATTATAAATGTCTAAATAGAGACTGAATATGTCTCGATGTCACTTTATGGAGCACCCCAAAACAAACCTGTGACTGCATTATGATTTAAACTCACAAATGGTATGAAGGAAATCCATTTCAACAGTGGAGAAACATTTCCTCAAATCCTCTTATGTACTTGGGACAAAAGGCCTGCAGTCTTTTTGAGCTACACAACACTCTCTCTGTTGGCTGACACCAAGACAGCACTGCGGCAGATGGGGCAAGTGGAGTTTTCGGATAGCCAGCGATCAATGCAGTGCACATGGTACTCATGAGAGCAGGGCAGCTTACGTAGCTTGTTACCTTCTGCATATTCTGTTATGCAGACACTGCAAGTCTTCAGGGCATCACTCTCACCAAAATTGCGCATTGAGAGGTTGTCAATCTGCTCTATGGTCAGCCCTTGGGGCTGGTCCTCATCGTCATCATTTAGAAGAAAGAAGTGAGCAAGTCGCAAGAAAGGCAATGAGCTGGGCTCCGCTAGGCTGATAGGTGGTAGTGGTCTAACCCTGCCAGCTGAGGCAGGGGGAGCAGTGACAACACCCTCCTCAGTATCAGTCTCAGCTGTCCTTGCTCTGACTCCTGCAGCTACAGGGGGTTCTTCCACATCAGCAACAGGAGCCGCAGCAGGATTGGCTTCTGGGTTGTTGAGGGCTTCAGCCAGATCCGCAGGTGTGGTGGCTCCACGGTTTGAATCTGACGAATCGGAGTCTGAGTCCATGAGGTAGCCGAGTTCACCAAAACCAGTCATTATTTGCCTAATCATAGATTGGAGAGCCATCGAGGTGGCCTCCCCCAAACCTGCATCAGAGATTCTTCGGATAGGGATGCGAATAGTGCTGACGTAGGTCCTCACCCCAGCACGCTCAGAGCGTGAGAAAGTCCTGCGAAATCCACCACGCTCACTCTCATAAAGAAATGTGTTGTTTGAGTTCTGGGAGCGTGATCGGGTGCGGCTAGCAATGCTGTCTCTTTGCCGATATTCGCCTGGACGCACACGACGCACCTGGAGATCAAGCATAATGGTAGGGGGACGGCGCCCTGCTGCGGCCCCTTCCCCTGCGGCGGCCCCTTCCCCTGCAGCAGCTTCTCCTTCCTGAGCTCCTACAGGTTGGGCCTCTGGGACCACTTCTGCACTAGCCCTAGATGGCTGAACATCAACGTCAGCAGTGCTTTGCCTAGAAAGAACGTGTTGTCGAGTCCGTGAACTGCCCTCCACCTGAAGCACAGGGGGAGCATTGGTGGCAGGGTTGAGGCCTTGAGTGCTGTGAGCATGACGTGGATTCGGGAGGCCATCCAGGCGATCCAGGTTGAGAGGGGAGCGGCTCCTGGCCGTGCGTGCCCTGGTCCTGCGGGGTTCTGGACTACGGCTGCGGGCTCTCCGTTGTCCTCTGCGTGGAGAAGGAGAGAGTGGGGGTTGTGGTGGTTGTACCGGCAGGGCGGCAGTTGAGAGGAGAGGTTCTCCTAAAATCTCTTGTGAAACAACTTCTTCTAGTTCAGGCTCTGGTTCAGGTTCTGGTTCCTGCTCTGGTTCAGGTTCCTGCTCCAGTTCCTGCTCCAGCTCTGGTTCCTGCTCCGGCTCCGGCTCTGGTTCCTGTTCCGGCTCCGGCTCCAGCTCCGGCTCCGGCTCCGGCTCCAGCTCCGGCTCCGGCTCCGGCTCCAGCTCCAGCTCCGGCTCAACTATCACAGCCACTTCCTCTACAACCGGTTCTTCCACCACGTCCGTCTCCATGGGTACCTGTGGTTCAGCCTCCACCACAAGTGGTTCAACATTAGCCACCATTTCTTCACTCTCTGGGGTTTCTTCTGAAGTTGCCTGCGGGGTTTCCTGTGGAGATTCGTGTGGAGATTCCTGCTCCCCTTCAGCAGCTGCCTGCTGTTCAGCCAGGTTGCGGTTCACACTGATTTCCAGGCTGAAGCGGAAATCACCACTGTTTGGGTTGGTCTGGCTCACGGCCCGCCATGACTGGTTTCCACGATGACCAGTTCTGGTTGTGTTGCCTGTGCGCCTCACTGTGTTCAGCCAGTCTAAGAGACTATCCCCATTTGCAGGATCCTCCGAGTTTTCTGGTGGTTCTGTAATAAGAGGAGTAAACAAGCATTAAATTAAGTCTACACTTGACAGTAAATCAAAGAAGAAAGAAATGGGAAACTTACCAACTGGATCCACTCCACTTTCAGTACTGGGGGCACTAGGGGTGCTATTCGGCTGCTCTGGACCATCCTTGATTTGCTGAAGTCTACTTAAAAGTTCGTCCTGTGTTACCTCTCCTGAAAGAGACATTGCAAAACAGAATAAACAGTCGGTTAATAAAAACTCTGAGAATGACATTGTTCATTGTTAAAATGTGTTATTAAGCCAAGTAGGATTGTGTTGAAAACCATTCGCTAATTGTCAAGATCAAATAGCTATTTTTCTGCAGATTTAAAAAAGGATTTGTTTACGAGTGTTTAGCGTAATGGGACGGCGTTAGTCTTGTTCCCTGACTCTACTAACCGGTAGTACATGTTTTTATAAATTCATAATAAATTAGGATTTATACAACACTAATTAAAATGTCTTGATTTTAGTCAACTTTATCTATATTAATACTTTTGACTAGCATCAGATTAAAACTGCAACGGAATGGAATTCTATACAGCATAAAAAAAAACAGAAAAGAAGAAGATAAAATGACAAAGAGCTTTAATTTACACAAGTGCTTGGTAAGATCCTTTGCTGGCAGGCAATCGCTTTGTTTTGACTAGTTATGATTTGATTTCACTGAGAGTACCTGGAATGTACAAAACACTGATAAACAGCCTTAACTTTGAGTTGCTTAGTCAGTGTTTTCCACATAATTTGATTCTATTTGTGGGGGCACCGCACTGCACCCCCCCGGGAAAGAAAAGCCAAAGGCCCCTTAACCTATTTGGGTGGCCCACGCATTCACCCCCCCTCAAATAAGAAAATACATGCAAGTTCATGGCTATTGTAGACAACGTTCTTGTTGCTCTGTGTTGCGTTGTCAATGAGTGAGACACACCAGAGTTGAGGATCTGTGGGTTTTATTCTCCCAAAAATATAGTTTACAATTCAGGTATTTAGCAGACGCCTTATTCCAAAGCGACTTTCAATGACCAATTACAGGGACATTCTCCCTGGAGTAACTGAGGGCTAAGTGCCTTACTCAAGGGCACACTAATCGTGGTGTTCAAGTTGGGATTTGAACTCTCAACCTTCCGATCATCAGCCCACCTCACTATCCATTAGACCAGTGGTTCCCAACATGGGGGGCGCGCCAAAGACCGAAGGGCGGGCGCAAGGCCTCAGATGATTTGAGGCCAAATATCATTTTAGACTTCTTTTTTTTTTTACATATAATTGTAACGCAATACATGATCTTTCTTTAATATAAATATAAATGTTTCTTCTGCCCGTAAAGTGTCCA